CAATGGAGCTTCCACACCCTCTATTCTCTACGACATCGTGGCTGGCTAATCACTAGAGTAAATCAGTGAGATACTTGGCTTCATTTGGGTCCATTCATCCTTTGATACATTACCCTTTAGAGCTTGATTTAATCCCTTACATATCAAGTCCAACTGCCCACAATTTGGTGCAGTTTCCACGAGTATTTTCCATGAATTTCTTGTTGAAGTTTTCTGATATTGTTCTGAGTTAGATCAGCAAGGGTTTTGAGTTTCTAGTGAATATAAATTGTGTTTTGATAAGCCCCTCCATGCCAAAAATTTTATCTCCCATTTATATGATCATTTCTCAAAAAACTGGCACCAATTCTAAGCTCTATACCTCCCACACATAAGCTCTCTCTCTCTCTCTCTCGCTCTCTCTCTCACACACACACACACGATTTTCTACCCCTTCTTTGAGCATCTTTTGAGTATTTATTGAGTAATATCATTGTAGTAAGGTTCTTGATTAATTGCTTCCCAAATTTGAGATCAATTTGGACCACGATTCTTGTGCCAGTGGTAGTGGTATCTCATGGAGTGTAACAAATCGTAGGCCATAAGACAGGCCCACCACATCTCTATGTTTTTCCTTCCCATAATTAAAGACTTTAGTGCATGTATTTGGTTGAGTCTTGTAACTTAGAGATTGAATGGAATTGTACTTATAAGCCAAGCGTTTGAATGTATTCAGGAGAAAGTTGTATGGTGCAGAATTTTGTATGTAAATGACATTCTAAAGTGATTTATCAATCTCCAAGAGTGTTTTTTAGTGGAATTGTGAAGAGGGTTGATGCAAGGTCATGTAATTTTGTTTTTGGAGTGCCTGTGAAGCTCTTATAGTGTTTGTAAGGGTATCTTTGATTGCACTCAACTATTTGAATATTTCAAGATTTCAAGCAATTAAAAAAAGATCTAATACTGAATGAGAAAGACCATGTTTGACAACTCATAATAGTATCCTTAAATATATAGATAAAGGCTCCATATTCATAATTCTAAAAATTCAAGTACAAGTTGAATTTTTTTGGATTTATTTAATTCAAAGAGAAAAATTTAAATATTTAAAATTTTTTTTAGTATTCTAAAATATAATATAAGGTGTGAGGGCCCATTGAGACTTTGGGCATGGCTCTCCATGTGTGGGGGGCCCCACTCCCTCTTCTTTCCTATCTTTTGTGGCTTTTGTGTTAAGCCACCTCCTTGATTTAAAAATAAAAAGAAAGTGAAGTGGAATGGCAAATAAGCAAGTGCAGAGATTGATTGAAAATTGATTTGTAAAATATAGTATGTTTTCTACACAATATTTGATGGGAATAGAGTTATGAAAACTAAGAGATGATGGTTCCACCTCATTCATTTAATCTTGATGGCGATCTAGGGAATGAATGGCCGAGATCTCTTTCCCCCACAGATCTCTATGATCAAAGGTCAAGATTGAAGGTCAAGATTGAAGGTCAAGATTGAGTCTCATTATGATGGAAAACCCTAGACCCCAAAACTCTAGCCTCCTCTCTATAAATATTCTCTATGAGGGTGTATTCTCTACAATTGTGAAATTGGATTGGCCACTCTCTCCCATTGGCAAGTATGCCCCACTCTAGTTAGGGTTTCGAATTGTTTTGAGCCTAAAGAAAACCCTAAGGTGGGCATGCCCAAGCCACAAGGCAGCATGCCCCGTTCTATGTGTTTGACCATTGAGGTTGTGTTTTGTGCTTGAGTTGGTTCTATCCCATGTCATGCTCTCAGAAAGTTTTGTCTAGGCTTTCCCGGATTATGAAACAAAGTTAGAACCGAGATCCCGTGTACCATTAGTGGAGGAGACCTGGTGCGGGATGTACGAAGTCCTTAGGGAATACCAGAGGCAAGGTTCTTAGTATTCTAATTGTTCCATGTTTCTTAATTTTTCATGCATTGTATTTTTGTATAATTATAAAGAATTGTAATGGTATGCAAGAGAGCATCCTAGATTGTATTAAGCTATATTTCATGAATAAGTTGTGATTTTGGACAAATGTAAAGTGTTCTAGCTGGTATGAATAAAAGAAAGAAAAAATAAAATAAAAATTGTATACAATTGGCTAGATCACATTGTCCATCTTTCACTACACTATGTGGGTAAACCCGTTGCATTAGAAGGGTACCATGATGCAAACTAGATTACGGATTTTGATGAATCCATGTCTACTAGCGATGGATCTTCACATATGGAGGGGCTGCCTTTGCTTCGAAGTTGTACCGCCATATCCATGACGAAATCAGAGTTAATAGCCTTGGAAGCCACTAGCAAAGAGGCTTAGTGGCTAAGAACTTGTTGGTAGACATACCACTGGTTCATGGGCCCATGTCTGCAGTCTCGATATGTTGCAATTGTGAAGCTGCAATACAACGAGTGAAAATTAAGTTTTATTACGAAAAATCTAGATATGTACACCTGAGGCATAGTCAGTATAGACTTTTGTTGGAAGATGAAGTTATATCAATACTCCATGTTCGCTCTAACCAGAACTTGGTGGATCCAATAACAAAAGACCTTGCAAGGAACCAAGTCTGGAAGACAGCTAGAGGGATGGGATTGAAGCCCATTTGTATTGTCACAGAGCGATGGGAACCCTACCTAAGGACGACAGAGTCCCAAGACCATGATTCCAAGGGAAAACAAGTCCCTTGTGTAATGTCTGATATATGTTTATACCAAAATTTATTTAATGAAAATTTACAAATTTTTTAAATAAAAATTTATAAATTTTTAAATAAAAATTTATAAATTTTTAAATAAAAATTTATAAATTTCTACCCCATCTCTGCTATATGATATAATTAATCGCAATGACTGGAGAGGTTGAGCATTCTCCTTAATTATTCCATTTGCCTCGATGATGTAAGTCTTACGCTGGGACTTGCGCACCAGAACATCCTCCATGGACTCAACTATATGATGTGCAAGTGGAGGTCGCTTCCTATGAAAAGTGGGCATTCCCTAGAGCACTCGTGAAAAACCAAGAACGGAGCAAGGCCTTAAATGCACAAGCATTTTAGTAAACCACAGAAAAATAATATGTGATATGTGGGAGGCTTATCAATAATGGATATAGTTCAAAGGTCGTCCACTCACTGTCCTAGTAAGCATTCTGCATAACATTATTTGAAGGTTCAAGTACGTAGGACACCTTCACTTATGCATTCTTTTTTATGTGAGTGTCTTATTTGTTTTGAAACAGATGGGGGATTGTTGTTTAGTTGTTTCAAAATAAAACTACTTGTTTCAAAACAAATGTTTTATTCATATATTTTTTTTAGGGACTATCATATTGTAGGTGGTCGTGGAGGACAACCACATTTTCTAGACCACATGGTACACTTTATCTTTTACTCCCTTTTTGAAGCATGATGTGCATCTGCAAGCATGACGTGCTTTCCTATGCTTTTGCTTTTAATTGCCACCATATGATGTAGCAACTTTACATTATTTAATATTCTTGTGACACATATTTAATGATCTGTTACCTTCCACCTCATGGTATATAAACCCTTGCATGTATCATCCAAAAAAAAAAGAGAATTTTTAATGGTTGGTTGTGCTCTCAAACAAGCTCTTTACTACTTCTCTCCTTCAATCAATGACAGTCTCTTTCTCTCTCTTACCCAATACGTTGTTGTTAGCCATATTTCATGCTTAATTCATGTGTTTTTATTATCTTGGTGAGCCATGTATTAGTTGGATTTCCTAGTTCATCCTCACGTTGAAGGAAGGAAGTATAGAGAGATTTCCGTGTGTTTCTAATTTTCTAATAGGATTTCGGTACTTCAGTTTATAAGTGTTGATCCCAATCAAGGTGTTTGTGGCATCAATACCAATTGGAAGACCTTTTGTTGTGGTTTTATGCGAGTACAATGAGAATGCAACTCGATAACTCAAGAAGATTTTAGTCTGGCTGAATGCAGGGGGGTGCTCACTAGGATCCTATTGCATCTTGAAATTGTACTGAGTAGGGGAGATCAACACTTGAAGAAAGCGAGTACCATTTGTGCCTCCAGATCTTGATATACTTTGGCTCCCTTCAACCCCTGAAACCAGATCTAATCCCTCGGGATTTAATTAGGACTAGAAATGTTTTTATCGGTGTAAGACTCAAAATCTGATCTAATCCCTCTGGGATTTAACTGGGACTATATTTACTGAAATTCAGATAGAATTCTGACTCTTGTTAAGGGGAAGTTCTGCTTAAAAGTTTGTTATGAGGGAGTAAGAAAAACCAACATTAAATCCCAATACAATAAAAGTAATGTTGTTTCTATTTAGAATGACATACAAAAAAAGAGATTGTAGCTTTCTATACATTATGAATATTCACAAAACATAAACAATTTGGCTTCCTTTTACACTGTAAAATATTCTTAGGGTAATTATACTTGAGAAATCATTAGATAGTGAAAATGCCAGTAAACTATTTAACCTATGACAATGGGGTAACAAACCATGGATAATTTTTTTATTTATTTTTTTTATCACAATTATCATAGTTAAAGGGACCAACCGGATTCAAACCAGTGACCTCTGGGAACAAATCCTGGAGAACTCACATGCAGAGCAAACAAACAGCCAATTCATATTCATACAATCTATGAAGTGTAATGGACAAATAAAAGGCAGCAATAAGTGCAGCAAACTTTCCATAACATAAGACTCAGAGCAAGAAAACCCAAGAAATTGCAAGCTGAAGCGAATCATGTACCATATGTCATCTGACTGATAAACTTTTAAAGAAGCAGTTGAATATGAACTATTCATTTTATCATGGAAAAAGTTCTTTAATTATTAAGCATAAAAAAAAGGATTAACAACTATTCTGACATTTCACATCATACATTTCATTGTTTCTTCAATTTCAATTTATCAATCAAACAACAGATGTAGAAACGTCAGTCATGTAGCTTTAGAAATCCACATTTTTACAGGTGGGGAAGAGAAATAATACCACTGTTACTTTCAGATGAGGAAGTAGATCAAAGGGTATTAAAGGATGATGAAGCTCCCGCCACACTCTTCCTTTTCCCTCTTTTGGAGTGTGCAAATGCTCTTTTCCTTCTCAGAATTTCGCGGAAATTTTCCGCTTGCTTCTTTTACGGAAATTTCTTACCAGGATATGTCCTCGTGCTTTTCACTAGTTAAAAGTTGAGATCGTCGTCTGGAAGCTTCGGCGCCGGAAGCCAAAACTTCGACCAAACCTGCACAGCAGGGGAGCGCACGCTTCTCAAAAAATGAGAAGTAAGTGAGCTTCTCATTTAATAAAAAACGAGTGCTTTTTATGAGAAGTTGCCCCCTCTTTGTTTTTTTTTTTTTTTTTTTTTAAAGGAAAATTTAGGTATGGATTAAATATTTTTGGTATTAAAAAATCCTAAAAAACGTAGTTATTTAAGTTGAGGTCCTACTTTTTTTAATTTTTTATTTTTTAAGGAAAATTTAGGTATAGATTAAATATTTTTGGTACTAAAACATGTAGTTATTTATGTTGAGGTCCTATTTTTTTTAATCTTTTATTCCAAATTTTCCCTTGGCTCAAAGACAGGTACATTGCATGCACAATGTTCCTAATTTCAAACAACTCTTTTGGGTCCAATGGCACTGCTAAGAGCGCCCTAGGGCCAACCATATAGGGCAGTGCGAAAGAAAGATCATTATTTAACCTTCCAAGTGGTTGATATTACAATTTTCATGCCATCGCCACGCTTGGGTCTTTTTGGATCCCTTTGGGTCGGTTTGATGAACAAAGTCTTGGACCCAGGCTTCTTTTTCTTTTTTTAATGTTGTTGGAGGTTTACAATCTTGAACTGCCCACGCTTTTGTATCTCCCAAGTTTTGGATGTGGTTTGAGGTTGTTATTTTCAAGCCACAGCTTTCTCATTTTTCTTAAAACCATAGGCTGGTTCGATGTTGATAAAATCAAATTACTTTTTTTCTCTTTTAATTGTATACAATGAGACTAATTATTTTTGTACAAGAAGGTTACAATTATTTTTAGTCTGTGAATGTCAAATTCAATGATGAAGCATGTAAAGCTTTCAAAAATTCTCTAGGCTTATCATATTATGGCCCGAGACCCAACTCAGTCGACCCCTTACTCTCTGGTGTATGAGAGTGAAGCCATATTACCATTGGAGATTCATTACCTTCCCTCAGGATAACCCTCCACTATTGAATGACAGAAGAAGAACAAGTTGCTCTTCGTTGTCAAGAACTAGACACACTTGATGAAAAGATATTGCAAGCGCAAGAGAGTCTCGAGATTCACAAAAATCACATGCAACAGGCCTTCGACAAATCAATCAAGATATATGAAGGGAGAGCTAGTCCTAGCAACAAGGAGACCTATTGTCGCCCATGGCCAAACGAAGGGAAAATTCAAGCTAAATGGGAAGGTCCGTTTGTCGTAATGAAAGCCTTCCCCAATGGAGCCTACGTGCTAATTAATTCTAGCGCAGAAGAAGATATGCCCCAAATTAATGGGAGATATTTGAAAAAATAGTATCCCTAGATGAAGGTCCAAGCTACATGACCGCTAAAGTCATAGCACATGTCTTGGCTGTATGACACTAAATTGCACCATATGCAGTCTTGGTGGCATGACGTTAAAATTGCTTCGCAAAAAAAAAAAAAAAACAAACAGGGGTCTTTGCGAAAACTAGAAATGACGCACACCCTAGGGCTCAAATGAAAACCCGAAATGGGCATTCGAGCTATTCAAGTCAAGAAGATGGCATCCCCAGGGCAAAGAAAGTCCCTTGGCCCATTTCTTATCCCCATCATCAAAAGGGTGAGCATGCCAAGGCGGAAGAAGAAGAAAACAAACCACAGAGCAGGAGTAAGGATGCAAATCGAAAAGAAGATTTTATTTCATGAATAAAAGGGTTACATGATTATGTTTACAATAAATCCGTAATTCCCAGAAAGATCAAATGATTCTGAAATAAGTTTCCATCCAGAGGTATCGCTTCCCAAAATGCGTTACCATTTCCTCAAGGCAGTTGTGTCTTATAAAATGATCGGTCATTCGTTTCTAAAAAGAAAATGGAATACTAAAAGAATGAAAGGCACCTCTTTAGAAGGGCAAAATTCTTCACTCCAAATAAAGCTTGAAATGCCCAGAAATAAACTGCTCTCTACTTTTCACCGTGGAGCCAAGGTGAAGAGCCAGGGGGCGATTAGAAGAGCAACCATATGTAAAAAGCCTGAGCAAAGCACTCATACTCACTATAGCAACAATTCACCGAAGCGCTGAACATTAAAGTTGATCAAATCATTCGATTGGTCAACCAGCACAAGGAGGATGTTGGGCCAGCAAAGACCACCACAATCTGCCATCGTGACTAGATGGATGAGATTGGGTTTAGGCCTGACCACCCTCAACACCTTATGCACAGCCTTAGACCTTACACTCTGGATCTCAATCAAACATTAGGGATCTAAAGGCACAAGTCCACCATCCAGCGCAGGCTCATCACCAGCACCTTCATAGGGTCGAACACCTTCATCAAAAGGGGAAACGCCAAGACACACTCCAAGGCTGGAGGCTCAAGCATCAAACCCAGCAAAGGGCATGGCCACCCAGAAGAATGCTTGAAGTAAGAAGGGTCTTTCCTCTCTCTCTGCGAAGGAAAGAAGACAAGGAAGAAGCTTCTCGAAAAGAAAGCTGCCCTCCCGCTCTCTCTCGGCCTAGCTTTTTATTGGCCCATCATAAAAGTGCTCCGTCTCCAAGGATGCCTCGATTAACACCTAGTCAAATCCAACGCCGCCTCGCCTCCCAGGCGTCATTATCAAAGTTTCACACGACAGATCTCCCGTTGCTTCACGTTCCAAACATCACTTTATTTAACCACGTGTCAGTCTCCAGACGTTTCGCCTTCCAGGCGTTACTGTCTTTGACCATGTGTCAGTCTCCGGACACCTCATCCTCTAGGTGCCGTCTTCTTGCGCACGCACTAATCTCCGGATGTTCTGCCTCCTGGGTGACGTGCCCCATGTATGCATAGGCACGTCATCAGAACTACCCACTCCCCCGGGTAACACTTTATCCCTCACGGATCCATGTCATCAAAATGACACTTCACCAGTCAGCAGCCTGTGAGGGAAACAGCTGCCCAGGGCTCAATGCACCCATGCATGAAGTGTATCTAGGATACCTCCTTGTATCAAGCAGGCGAGAATGTCACACTTCCATCCCCAGATACCTCATCCACGACATTCATTGCTCCAGTGAGATCCCTTCAAAGAAGAAGTTAGGCGCGATGAGAATCATCGTAAGTAAAAGAAAAAAAGCTTTAGGTGGACATAGCCATTGATGCTATTGGTAAAATTGCCAAAACAATAAAAAAAAATAGGTATGTGAAAACCCGCAAGGACGCCATGAGTAAAAATGACAGGCGAACATGGCCATGAAGCCATGAGTAATAGTGTTTTGAAAACAAGGATACCGAGCATGGTAAAAACCCGTAAGGGCACCATGAGTAAAAATGGAAACCAAGAGGTGGATGTGACCTCGAAGTCATGAGTAAAAATGCCTCAACAAAAGGACTTGGTGAAAACCACCCTTGTGGTGCCACTCCTACCCGGTTCAAGTGAAAACCTGAAAGGGCACTTGAACCAAACAAAAATCAAACTCTCCAGCCCAAGTGCCAAACAAACAACTCTTCGGCCCCAACGCCAAAATCTTCAGCCCCAGCACCAAAACAAATCTTTGGCCCCAGCGCTGAAACAAATCTCTGGCCTTAGCGTCGAAACAAATCTCCGGCCCTAGTGCCAAAATAAATCAAACTCTCCAGCCCTAGCCCCAAAATCTAACTTTCTGGCCCCAGCGCCAAAACAAATCTCCGACCCCAACACCAAAATATCTATTACAGTATCTAAGAGGAGCAAATATCGTCTTGAGATAGTGCTCCTGTGTGTTTGAAACTGACAAAGTTTCAAGCTTATAATTTTTTGAATTTGTATTACCTTCTGCCCCTTTTCACCGAGCGACTTTCTAGCATCGTTCCTTTTCATGGAGCTTAGGGATAAAGCTCTTGAACCTCTTGGATTGAATGCATTATTTGTCACCTTCTATTAATATTATTAGGTTGGTGCTCTACTTTGTCAGGGAGGATTTTTATGTATCTGGTTGTAAATAATATTAGCCCATGTATTCCCTCATAAAGATAAAAATAATGGCAATCGATTTCTATTCACCATTTCCTTCTAATGAACCTTTTGATATCGATTTGGTTTTTATTGAGAAACTATGTTATTTGATGTTTTTTCATTGACTTTAAATCCATATTTGGAAGAAGGTGCAGGGGTCTTTATCCTTTGGATGAAGGTGCTATAAGGCTTAGGCTTTATGGAAACAAAATAAGGGATTGTCTACAAAGAGACCATGTACCTTTGTACATGAAAGTCACAATCATTCTCATTCACTAGATATCAAATTGGATGGTTTAGGGTTAGTCACGAAGCCTGAATTTTTTTTTTTTTGGAACTTTGTGTCTATTCAATGACACGCTTACAACCAACCATTTTGAAATTTAAGGGACAAGAATGATTGTAACCTCCATGTATAAAAGGCAAATGGTCTTATTTGTAGACAATCCCATAAAATAAACCCTCACTCAAATCCTCGTCTAGAAAGTACTTTCGGCAGCGGAAATATCTATGATGGCTCTAAAATCAACTTCCAACACCAATAATAAAATTTACAATTAAAAAAGGGATATAGATCTTGCGGATCCATGAACAATTTATTTTAGGGTGAAATGGATGGTTTAGATAATTTGTTACAACATACAATAATTTTAGAGCTTGAAATCCTATTTTTTTTTCACAACCAAAATGTTCAAGATGAGATGATCGATATAAAGGGTTTCCAATGCTTGAATTGCAAATTTTGATGACTTATAAGGTGAGGCTTTATTTATTTTGATAGGGTTCAAATCATTTTCATTACCGTATTGTCCAAATGTGGTAATTTTTAATTATATAAACCTTGCTGTTAAACATTACATAAATTAGAATGAGGGTGTGAAAGTGGATCTTCTTTCTTCCTTTTCTTAACTGATATTCGTACCCAATTCCTATTGTCTAATGCCATGAGCTCCAATAATTCTTTAGGCTTGGGGTTGATACCCCA